ATATATTAACATGATTAACTTTTCTTAGAATATAACCACCCTATCTATATACCACATTACCTCTTACTAGTCTACGCCTAAATGGGTGCCTGGCTTTATAAATTGGCCCTTAATCTAGTCGTCCTATCCTACCTACTTAACTAACCATCACTCTCTATCCATAGGCAACTGCGTGCGCTAGTCTTATAAAAAATTCCATCTAGGTTACTTATTAGTTAGGTTATTATACAAACGCTCCTATAGGATGCTAGGAATGGGTTTGGTGGCTGGGCTATTACTAAATAATAAATCCTCTATTAATAACTACTACGTCTCCTACTATAGCCCATATACTATACTATAGAACTAGGCTATAGTAAACTACACCTCCTTATATAATAACTCGTCCTACCCTACCCACTTCATATGGCCGTGTAATATTATATTATAATGGATCTTTAGCCCATACGTCTATAAATCCAATATCCACTATATGGGGCTGTGGCTACTATATACCATAAACTTATCTATTATCTATGCCACGAACTATAAATACCCCTTAGGCCGGGCCAGTGGCTATATACTATTGCCGTCACTCTTATACGTACTATTACTATTATCCTTAAATGGCTTAGATAATGCCAACGCCTACTATATAATCATAAACTAGGCGACCTTAATAATAGCTAATAATATAGGTAGGTACTAGTCTATACCCTTCTACCTATCCTCCCTAACCCCTAACACGGCCAATATATACACTAATAGGCTATTATACTCCTTATGGGTAATGGACTAGTTTAATAATATAATATAAAATGCCAAACACGCTTTCTTAATACTTAATAATGTTTCTGGCTTACCTATATTACTAACCCCTACTACTAGTACTTCTTCCCTCTCTCCCCCTATACTATCTATGTCCTCCATTATCTTATTATCCAAATTTACCCCTAGTTACTCCTTATCCTCTTCCTCTCCACCCACTACTCCCCTAGCCTCCTTTATAAATGCCTCCCATGCCTTATACTACCGCTTAGTAAACTAGTACTTAGGGCTCTTCTATACGTGCTCCTATTGTATCTACTAAAAAAACATTAATATCTACTACTATGGCTAGGTATACTCACTAATCGACTTCTCGTCTATATATGGCTATAATGGCTAGTACTAGGTCTAGTGCTTCTTAGTGTAGATTGCTTCTAATTGTATAAATATGCCTATATGGTGGATAATAGATGACTAACTAAACTATATTAATCCATCCATGGCTTCCCATATCACGGCGGCTATGGGCTCCTCTTTAGCCTTAGGCTCTTCCACGCTTACTAATAAGTCGGGTTACTCCATGCCTACCAAGTATGGCATCCATCCTATTTACTTAAGCTATGGGTTCACCTTATCATACGCGCCGTCCTAGATCGTTATCTTGGCCTACTTTTATATGTTACCCCACGCCTTATCTATATTCCTAACGACCTGTGCCCACCCTGTCTCGCTATCCATGGGTTTGGGGGTGGATTTGGGTTGGTGGACTTCGAAATACTGCGACCTAGGGCCCTGGATAAATAATTACTAGTAATATATACACCTATGTCCCTACTTACTACGTAACGCTATGCGTTTCTATGTAACCTAGCTGGGATAACCGCCTCTAGTTACTAGTAACTAATAGTGTGCTTTCTACTAATGCTTTCTCATAACCTCTACGCTTTAAAACACCTAATAGTATTAATCCGGCTCTAGCTTATATATTAATCCATCTATATATATTAGCAACTAGCTAGTGGGTATAACGGCCTACTAGGGCACCTTAAGCTGGCTTATATACTAGATTATACCCACCTATCTACCTACCTCTTCTACTATAGAGTCGGCTTCCTTATAGGGAACCCGGTGGTGCCGCTATATATAATGTGGTACCTGGCTAGGTAAAATACTATACCTATATTCTCTACATATCACTAATAAATACTTAGGTAAATGCTTAAAATACTTGCCTATGGCGCTACGTTCTATTATGCTGGAAACTTCTATACGGCTATGGTGGCGGGCTATGGGATCCTAAATGGGTTACGGGCTAGTATAGGCTACTCATGGGTTATAGGCTAGTATGGGCTACTAATGGGTTATGGGTGCTAGTCTACTAACTATCTAATCTATTCCTTACGTAATATGTCTTTTCTATCTTAGAAACTAATGCGTAATGTGACGCGTTACTACTTATACTAGATATTAATCCCTATGGTGGAGTCGCCTCTAACGTCTAATTACTACCTTACTAATATAACCCTAACCTAAACACATAACCCTAACCTTTATAACCACACCAAATCTAGGGCTATAAATTGGCTGGGACGTGCAGCTTAATGCGCTGAATCTCTAGCCTAAATTTTAGGTTAATTGGCCTACAGGAATGTAACTGGACCGGCAAATCTATATTTACTAGACTTAGGCTACGTGCTATAAAATACCCAGGGCAATTAGGCTAGCGCGAATATTCCATCCCTAATAAATCTAACCTCGAAACTAGACTTAGTACTAACTCTAGTTACCGCCCTAGGGTAGGCTATATACTATA